TTATGTTTATATCATATATAAATACATTTTTTATTCAGCAACACCAGCGAACAGAGCTTTTGGATCCAAACTTTTGGCATTATCTGCTACTGATTTACGGTTGTCTAATCATACATAAATCCAACTGTTTGGGCATTTGATCATGTATGACCAGGTCCTCACTAATCCAGACTGTGTCCACATCTTGGATTACGACTCTGATTAACCTATGTAAAATGTACAGCTTAGGCTAACGCGCTCTAGGTAGTTGTCGTTGTTGTTGTCGTTGTTGTTGTCGTGCTTGTGTGGGCTTGTGGGATTGTGAGATTGTGAAATTGTGGGCGTTGAATGTCGTCAAATGATGTGCTTGTGTACACGTGCATGTTGAATGTCGTCAAAATAGTGTTCCACCGACTGTCAGTCTGAATCCTTGCTGTGGAATGCCCAGCACAATTAGCCACTCCGTGGTAGATGCATGGTAGTTTAAACTTGTGTGCTGTAATGCTAACCCCTAGTGTACAGGTTAACCTTTAGTCTACAATTAACTTTACTCTACAAGTTGACCCTTTAGTCTACAAGTTAACACATAGTTAACAAATTAACCCCTCATGTACACATTAACTTATATACAAATTAACCTCTTAGTTTACAAGTTAACATCTTGTAAACATATTAGCCCGTTGGTGTACAATTTAACCCCTAGTCAAAATGTTGATCTGTAGTCTACAAGTTAACCTCCTAGTCTACAAGTTTACCCTTTTGTACAGGTTGACACATAGTCTATAAGTTAACAATAATTTTACAAATTAATGCCTTGTGCACAAGTTAACACCTATTGTCTATGAATTAAGCCCTAGTATTCGAGTTAATACCTAGTGCACTAAGTGTGTTTTACAGTATAACTTACATCTATGTCGTAGAAATGGTCCAATGTTTTGTCGACATAAACATTAGTTATTTCTATTCTTTCAGAGTGCTCTGCTTTGATAGCTTTACCATTGCTTTGCAGACTTTTCATAGCTATTGGTTTCGTTATTCTTTAGTGGCATTTCTTTTTTTCTGTTCGTTTTTTTTTACAAGTCAGAAAGTTAGTTGAAATGCTTGTAAAGAAAAAAATTAACTTTATTTATGAAAATTAAAACAATGAAAACAATAGCAATGGAAGTGATTATGATGTCAACAATGACAGTGAAAAGAATAATAGAAACAAAATAATGATGGCAACAGTAGCAATAATAGAGATACTTATAATAAGGCACACAATAAGAATAATGACACTGATAATGATGGTGATAATAACAGCAAGGCAATAGTATTATAATATTCATGGAAATAGTGTACTGTTCGTGACAATTGTGTTATGTGCCATTATGTTATGTGATGTCATGGTAGTGGTGTAATATTTTTGACAGTAGTGTAATTTTCAAGACTGTAATAACTTCAAATTTCGAACAAAAGACAAAAAAAAACCCACGACTTGAGCTATTGGTACTGATGGAAGAGAGAGCAGAAACTATAGATCTATTTTGTAACTAAACAGAAAGTAGTGGCCCTTGTGGGAAGATTTGAAAAATACTCAAGCTTTCAGAGTCTTGTCACTTCCAGTAATCAGAGCTGTTTACCCTGATTAATCAAAACATTATAATTATTCTAAAATATCTATTAAAAACTGTATAGCATCGTGCCTATACAAACGCTTATATACATGTCTGGCTAAGGCCATGTGTGTAGAGATGGCGTGTTGCCTGAGTGTACAATAAATTTCCAACAGTTTCAGAACAGAATGACTCCTACTTCATTCCCACATTCAAAATAAAGTAAGATCTTAGAAGAAAAAAAAGGATTTTATTTTCTCATAAGACATAATAAAACGAAAACAAATAAGTGGATATTTTTAAAAAAGTATTGGAAAGAGAGTAGCCTGTACTTTTTGAGAAACTTAGAAACCAGCACAAAATATATAATGTATAATATCGTCTCCGTCATTCTTCGCTACCATATGTCAAAATACCAGGTTTTCATGAAAAGAAAAAAAGGGTTAATTTAGGCAGAATAATATTATGGTTATTAAAAAACGTTTAATTCGTCTAAAATCGTTACTAGTTTGAGAAGAAGAATGAGACAATGAACAATCGATGCGCCTCATTAAACTCTAACATCTTGGTTTTTCACTTTTTCGAAACTTTGACATACTGCAATGTTGGATGACGGCGACGAGATTGTTGTTGATGCTTAGCTGCTTTGTGAGAAAACTACACACACTTATCGCCGGTACGCTGTTCCAATATCATAATGCCAAGCTCAGAGAGCAACGTTTTTCAGGAGAGAGAAAGAAAAAAAGGAAAAAAAACTTTCATTCTTGTAACATTGTACCCACACATTATGGGGGGTTTTCCGTTGGGTTTTTTTTTCTCCAATATCTAAAGTTTAAATTTCCACAAAATATTCCATGGACACATGCAACCGATACCACAAATCAGAAAATTGTGTTCTTATTTTTTTTTATGGGCTTAGTACATTATTTGAACAGCTGTCCGTCGATAAAGTTGTAGGTGCTTAGCTGCTTGCTTTGGTTTGATATCATTCACGTAATGAGAAGCAACTAGACATTTTGAGTAGGCTGATGTTTATTCATGCTAAATCCTTTTCCAGCCACAGCACAAGTGCAGATCAGCTTTACTTTTATTTCCTAACCAAACTTGCGACGCCATTGCTAGTTCACTTTATGCTGTATCACTTATTCTCTCGACCATTCTCACCGTCTTTACAAACGGCCCATAGATGTGTTAGTCTCTAAGCCTAGCTCTGATCTGGTGATTCAGTCGACGGAGTGTGGGAGCCATGGTCGGACTGGTCCAGTTGCTCGGAGACGTGTGGCAACGGTACGCAGTTCAGATCCCGAGCCTGTTTCGGGCCGTTTTACGGCGGTCTTGACTGCAGCGGGGATGCCGAGGACTCTCGCTGGTGCAAGGACAGAGAGTGTCCCAGTAAGTGAAACTGATTTGTGGGAGGGGATGGGGGAGTTGGGAGGGGATGGGGAGAGGAGGTGGGAGGGGAGAGAGTGCCCCAGTAAGTGAAACTGATTTATGGGAGGGGTGGGAACAGGAGAGGGGAGGGGATAGGGAGAGGAGGGGGAGGGAGGGATGGGAGAGGGTGTGCAAGGACAGAGAGTGTCCCAGTAAGTGAATTATGAGGGGGCCCGAGCCGGAAAAGAGAGAGAGTGTTCCTGAAAGTGAATTTTCGAGGGGATAGACAGAAGATAGATTTCTGGAAGTGTGAGAGGGAAAGGGATAAGGGTGAGATAATGGATAGACAGATGGTGGATTTACAAAAACAGGGTGGTATTGAGGAATGAAGGGGAAGGTGGGGTCGGCTTTGATGGG